CAACCCCTGGGCCCTCCCCCCCCCAAACTCGTGGGACAAAAAGAAAGACTGCAGTAGTTAGCATCAGCGTGCGGCTGCCAGTCCATCGAGGGGGTTTTAGTTGTTGCCTTCGCCGCCGTCGTCGTCTTGCTGGTCGCTCGTCCAGAGCGTGAGGTTGTCGCGGAGGAGCTGCATGATGAGCGTTGAGTCCTTGTAGGAGTCCTCGTTGAGGGTGTCCAGCTCGGCGATGGCGTCGTCGAAGGCCGTCTTGGCCAGGTGGCAGGCCTGCTCCGGCGCGTTCTGGATCTCGTAGTAGAAAACCGAGTAGTTAAGCGCCAGCCCCAGCCGGATGGGGTGGGTGGGCTGCATGTGCTCCTTGCTGATCTCGTGGGCCTCGCTGTAGGCCTTCTCGGAGGACTCCACCACCGTCGCCCTCTTCTCACCGGTGGCCACCTCGGCCAGGTAGCGGTAATAGTCCCCTTTCATCTTCAGGTAGAAGACTTTGCTCTCGTACTGCGTCTCGCTGCAGTTCTTGATCAGGTAGTTGTCCAGCAGGCTCAGCACGTCCTGGCACACCGCCTCCAGCTCCTTCTCGATCTTCTCGCGGTAGGCGCGGACCATCTCGATCTTCTTCTCGTTCCCATCGGCAGAGGTCTTCTGCTCGATGCTGCTGATCACTCGCCAAGACGAGCGCCGCGCCCCCACCACGTTTTTGTAGGCGACGGACAACAGGTTCCTCTCTTCGTTGGAAAGGGGCTCGTTCAGCTCTGTCACCTGCACAGAGAGAGGGAGAGAGAAGAGAGACACTTGGGTTAAACCCCATCACTTCACCTTCCTGTCACACGTTGGGTGCTCCCGTGCATCTCCAGCGAGAGGCAGAAGGCGGCCGGCGGGGACATCGCGCCGTGGTCCGGTCCCCCAGCAAAAGGGGACAGGATGGGTTTACTCCAGGTGGTCTCCATCTCTTAGAAGTCCAGTGTTTTCCAGAAAAATCTTCCTGGAAAGAGACGCCTTTCACCTGCGGGATGAGAGTTGGGCTTCATGGACAAGCAAAGCGCGAGGGTGGACATGGTCCGGCGTCGGGAGCGTCACTGTTAATCCACACGGATTAACAGCACCGTGGCTGTGGAGCGCTCATCTTTTCCGCTTCCCGCAAGCACAGGGCACGCTTCCGAGATGCCTACAGCACACGTTAGATGTTGAAACCGCAGCGGCCTCAGGCATCTGCGCAGACAAGGACTTCAGAGCCCACGTGGCGAGAGTACGCGCTGCCCACACGGGATTTTCCTCGCTGAGGACAAGAGTGTTCACACACAGCACCACTCCTGCCCGCCCCGCACCGCGGCAGCAGAGGGATCGGGGAGACGACGGAGCACGGGGCCCTCTCCCAAAGCAGCTGCCAAACGCCGCTTCGGCCGACACCGGGACATGCCGCGCTTGATCCTGCGGTAACCCCATTCCAGCTCCCACAGCACCAGCTGCCCAGCCCCACACGCACCCCCTTGTCCCCGTGCCGTGCCCTGGCTGTGGGTCTCTGCGTCCTCGCAGTGGGTGCAGCAGCCCAGGACGCTGCAGGGTCCGGGTTGTGCCGTGCTGGGGCAGCCACCGCTGCCAAGCAGCACCTTGAGCCTGGATACCGTCCTGGGACGCGCTGCCCTGCCACACACACACCCCAGGAGCACTCCAGAGGAGCGGGGACCCATTGGGATTAGGCAATGGTTTGGATCTGAAAGGCTTCTGCGCACAGGGAGGCATTTTCACGAGGACGAGGTTTGCTCTCCATGGCCACGGTGGTGATGAGCAGGGCGAGGGCTCACGTGGAAGGTGCAGGATGGCCCAGCCCAGGACCTCCCTTGTGTGGCCTGCAATGACTCGTCCTCGCTCACACCACGTTGCCCTGCTCATTGCCTGCCCGCAGCTTCCCCTGCAGCGGTTCGGCTGTGATCTGCCCCCCAAAACCCTGCTGTGCTGATCCAGACCCCCCTACGCCTTTCCTTGATGCTGAGGCAGCCGGAAAAGCCTCCTTTCCCACTTCCCACTATTGCAGGGACCTGGGCTGCTCCATGAGATGCTCCACAGCCTGGCAGGGGAACCAGCAAACAGCCCAGCTCCACACAGACCCCTTTACACCCCTAAACCAGGCACAGAGCCCCTTTACACCCCTAAATGAGGCACAGAGGCCCCTTTACACCCCTAAACCAGGCACGGAGCCCCTTTACACCCCTAAACCAGGCACAGAGGCCCCTTTACACCCCTAAACCAGGCACGGAGCCCCTTTACACCCCTAAACCAGGCATGGAGCCCCTTTACACCCCTAAACCAGGCACAGAGCCCTTTTTACACCCCTAAACCAGGCACAGAGCCCCCTTTACACCCCTAAACCAGGCATGGAGCCCCTTACACACCTAAACCAGGCACAACTGCCCCCTGCACCAAGGGCAGGAGGTGGCTGGGGGACCGGGGTGTCGCGTCAGAGAGGACAGGGCGTCCTGTGGCCATCAGCACAGGCCAAGGTGTGCAGGGCAGCGTGCTGAGGCAGCTCCCAGCCTGGTCTCTGGTCTCCAGATGTCCGTATTTCTACAAGCCTTAACAACTTTGAGATGACTCCATTCATTCTTCCTTCCGAGTGACACCCGCACAAACATAAATTAAAGACGCTGCGAGGCTAAAGCCATCTTTGAAAGACGCTGGAGCCCAGAGGAGGAGTCCCCCTGCCCTAGAGCTCACGGGTTGTCTGTCCTTGGAGATCTTCAATACTCCACCAGGTTACCCAGGGCCTCGCCCTGCTTTGAGTACGGGAACGGGGAGCAGAAACATCCAGAAATCCCAGCCTGGCTCACTCCTACCTCCAGCTGTAAATGGAGCATCCAACAGCGACAGCTTCCAGCTCCAGCAGTTTCTGTGCCGACGCTGGCCGTGCAGGTTGGGCCCCACGCGAGGTCCTGCTCTCAGAGCAGATACACCGGCTTGAAGTGAAGCGTGGACCAAGCAGATGACTTAAAGCTGCCCCACAGCCCAGTCTGCAGATGCTTATCGCTGCATTTAGCGCCTCTCCCCAGAAGAGTCTCGCTGGAGGACAGATTTATTAAAACTACAGGGAGTTTTGCCGGATTAGCTTTGCTATAAACACCTTAAATTCGAAGCTATTGGGGATTAGGGTTTTGCTGCCTGTCAGAATCCTTTCACCAAACCTGCTGGCAGTCGGGAGGTGGCTGTACCTGTGGAGGAAGGCGATTCCTCCAGGGAACTTACCCAGGAGGAACGGGAGCCTCCTTACCCGTGTAACTGCACTTCAGCAGCACCCACGGCCACAGCCTGCGCTCCAGCATGGGACTGCAGTCACCACCGCGCCGCTTCTGCCACCAGGGCTGCATGGGTGAGCATCTCCAGCAGAAAAACATCCAGACAGCACCACGGCAACTCGTCCTGCAGCGTGGGTCTGTGCGCTGCGGCCAACCAAACGCTGGTTTTTCCTTATGCTGCAGGATGCTGGCACAGAGCGGGTTCAACCAAACCAAAAGCGAAGGAGCAAGCTCCGATATGCTCAATTTATAGCATCGCATTGAACGCCTCTGATGCAACACCAATAAGGCAACAGCCTGGCATTAGGTTGCAGCAGTCATTTTAGAAGCCCTTGCTGAGAGTTTTTGCTTCCAGCATCCAGCTTAACATTGCCAGAGCCCTCCTCCTCCTTCAATTCGGACCCTGGAGGGGGTCTCACCTCCCATAAGAGCAGGGAAGGTCAGGCTCGCATCTTGGAGGCACCATCACCCAGCCTGAGGACGCAGCAAGTTCCAGACTCACCGGTTCCTGCAGCCTTTGAAGGGTCTGCAGCACCAGGACCCACACGCCCTAAAGCCACAGGGATGGTCCAACAAAACCTGCAGGGAATTTAGGGTTTCTGCTGCTTGCCGGCCTGGAAGTCTGCAGGAATCAAAGCCCTCTGGTTTGCAGCCAAGCCCCTCACATCTCAGAGAAGGTTCTCCCAATTTCTGCGCCCCATCCAAACCCTGGCAGGCTCCTGGTGTGCCCGAGGGTCACGCTGTGGCCAGGGGACGTCTCAGCCGCATGTGAAGCCAGGGAGCCCCCAGCGTCAAGGTCTGTGCTCTCCAAAAGCCCAAGGGTCGCTCCTACCGCACCTCTTGCCAGAAGCATCCTAATTAGCAGGATTTTGGGGACCTGCAAGGGAGGTGGCAGGTTACTTTGCTTATGGGGCTCATTTAGGACTCTTCTCCTCCACTTCTCACCTTCAGGAGGTCCAAAGCGATCAATCCCGAGCACACAATGAAATAATTTCTGAAAACCCTTCATCTACAGAGTAGTTGCAATGGAAACCCACGGCAGGATTTCGTGTTACCTGTTTATTCTTACATGCATGGATTTTCACTCGCTTTCTGTAACGAAGTGCCCACCCATTTACGGCTGCTACCCAGCTTTGATGTCTTATCTCACAGCACACAACGGAGCAAGATGAAGAGACCCAGAGAGCCCTCCCCAGGGAATACCATCACCATTTGACAGTTTAATCCACGTTATAAGCCTCAGCTCTGCTTTTCTGATCATCTAGAGAAGATCCCAAGACCCTGGAGACATCAGACATCTACACAGGAGCCAGGGTTTTCTAGAGAGAGACAAAGACAACCATAAGAACCCCAAACTGTCCCTTGAGAACAGCTTTTGACCACCACCAGAGCTCCTCCTGCACCTGGAAGTCCCACACCAAAACTGGGCTTGGTCCGAAGCCACCGGCGAGGGGAGCAACCCACACACATCAATTTGGGCTCAAGGGGCTGCTGAGCATCCAGGGCTACCTGCAGCCATCTCTAGGTGCCTTCAAGCTCATTAAGCTGTCATCATTAGCTGGCAGCTTGATTACAGCCAGGACTGGATGTCCCACAATAAGAACAGCTTCTCCTTGCGTGCTCCAGAGGTGTCCTCTAACACCATCAGCAGTGGGAAGGATGCTTTTCTTGAGCACTGTCCTACTTCAACACAAAGTAGGCGTGTGTTAAAGCAGACCCAAATCTCAAATCCTACCAGATTTCGCTGCTTCAGGTCTTTTTTCTCTCCTGTACCGCAGCCTTCTCCACGTCACACTTCCAAAATGGAAATCACACCATAACCACTTCTCTCCTTGCCGACCCCTCCGCCGTCCTCTCCGCTCATGTCTCATCTCAGCACGGCCAGGGGGATTTGGGGCTGCAGGTCGAGCCCTTCCTCTCATCTCAGACACGACCAGAACTGCACGAGCAGGCTGTGGGCAGGAGTCAGTTCCCCTCTGCTGCCTCCTTTGGCCATTTCAGTGTGAATTCAGTGTGAATTCAGCGTGCTTGTTCCTGTTTTTAAGCTGGAGGGGCAGCTTTCATGGCAGGACTGAAGGCACACGAGATGGTTCTGCCATTACGTTCCAAACTGCGTCAAGTGCACCAAGGACTGGCACCTAAAAAGTCAGATTGCTGACTGCTTGTGGCACAACTGGATCTCAGAGGCTACTTGGGCGCTCTGATTAGGACTTCTGCATGCTCTTACGGTTAACAGCAGCACTTGAGACAAGGTGTTCAGCCTGGGAGATGTGAAAACCAAGAGCTCATTTATTGCACTGCAGCTCAAGAACTACCTGAGCCAAGGTGAATTTCCTGGCGCCGCACGCAGGTTTGGTCAGCCCTTGGGAGCCTGCGGATCTGCTCCAGTTTCAGCCTGGCTCTGATGGGTTTCAGCTGAAGAAAAAGCAAGTTTCAGCGACTTGGGTCATTCCTGCAGGCCATAAGAGAGCCAAAGTGAGAAAACCGGTGACAGCAGAGCTCTGAGCTGCTCCTATCCAGCGTTGGTAGCAGCGTTTCATGACCCATCCCTTATCTGCAGCACTGCAGTGCCAGTGTTTGGTCTAACGGCCCAGACCTTTCCCGCTGCACAACACCCAGTGCCACCCATTTGCCTCACCGGCTTCTCCTGCAGCTTTTGAGATAAGGCAAGCGCCAGGGACCATCCGCTGCCCTCCATCGCTGGCTTCCAGCACCTCACCTCAACGCCACAGCAGGGACAGGGGACAACCCAGGCCCATGGCAATAACCAACTGCAGGGACAATGCATTTCAGTGCACGAGGGCAGAACTGCGACCGTTTCCGAATCAGTGCTGCATGGGCCCGGAGCAGAGAGCTGCTCCCACAGCCAGTGGGAATGAAAGGAATAAGGAATGAAAACCCCAGTAAGTTATTCTTGTCTTCCTCAAAAACACCCCAATTCTTGTTAGCCTTACCACGAGACAGCCTATTAAACAAGATGAAAACTGGTCCCTTCTTCCACTGTCTCCCTGCCCTGTACCTATTAAAACCTCTTGGGAAAAGAGCTGATCTCTGCTGGCCCAGGGCCTCCCTGCCAGCAGATGGAGGAAGCAGCTGGAGGCACCACACCAGCCCCAGTTTGGGAGTGC